TCTCTCTCTCTCTCTCTCTCTCTCTAAATCCAACCCCTCAATTTGTTATACCTATGATACACAGGCCTAGATCTAGATATCTATATAAAATCTGTTAAAGGCCTACCGTTAACCTTGGCAGGCTACGATCATCAAGTTGGCAGTATAAACAGGGTTTATAAGCAGAGCACCCCGGCCAATGTCAAGGGAAGCGATTCTGCCATGACTAGATTAAAGACAATTTGACGAGTTATTTCCCTTTATGTACTTCATGAAGAGATGGCCTTCAGGTGACATCCCGGGCCCTTGCTCACCACAGAGTCTTGTGTGTAAAATGTGTGGTCCTTCTTCCTCTGGTCTTTGCAGAATCATTTCCCTTGGTGTTGGGCATTTGGAGAGAACTACATTACCTCATAGAAGACTTACATTTTGATTTTTCAGCAATGCTTGTTCAGGGGCACTTTGAAGACGTGTCTTCTGGAAGGTCATTGAGTCACATAGGAGCAGCCAAGAGAAAAGATAAGTACTGCAATGTTATTTGTTTTTGTTTTGATGTTGAAGTATTTTGATATAAAAGGAGAGGTATATCGAATTACATGATCAAAGTTGTCATTGTTGAGATTGTTGTAGTCATTGTGCTTGAGATTGTCATGGTCATCTTGGTCGAAGTTATTGTGGTCGAAGGTTGTTGTAGTTGTCGTGATTGAGATTGTTATGGTCGTGATGGTCGAAGTTGTTGTAGTTGTTGTGGCTGAGATTGTTATGGTCGTGATGGTGAAGTTGTTGTAGTTGTTGTGGCTGAGATTGTTATGGTCGTGATGGTGAAGTTGTTGTAGTTGTTGTGGTTGAGATTGTTATGGTCGTGATGGTCGAAGTTGTTGTGGTTAAGATTGTCACGGTCATCTTGGTCGAAGTTGTCGGGGTCGTCATGGTTGACATGGCTCAAAGTCGTTGTTTTCACGGCTCAGAGTTGTCGTTTTCTTGGCTCAAAGTTGGTGTTTTCTTGGCTCAAAGTTGTTATCGTTTTCACGGCTCAAAGTTGTCGTTGTTTTCTTGGCTTAAAGTTGTTGTCGTTTTCATGGCTCAAAATTGTCGTTGTTCAAAGTTGTCACGGATCAAATTTGGTGTGGTCTTTGTGAATCGGGACCATAGTGGGTTGGAGTTGAAGTCGTCGGAGTTGCCATGAGTTGTTGGTTGTGGGTGTCATGGGTTGCACTGATTGTGGGTTGCGTGGATTGTGGGTGACTTGGGTTGTGGGCTGTGTGGGTATAAAGGGTTGTGGGGATTGCGTGATTGTGAGTGTCAGGCGGGTCGTGGTTGTCGTGATGGATAAATTATCCGAAACATTGTGGTTTCAAAAGTGGCCAGATATGTTGGTTCCATTTCCCTTTGTTTTGTTCAACTTTTCTCCTTTTGCTGTTGGAGCTGCCCATGTAAGTAGGGCCATGCATGCTTTTACACTTGACTGAAATTGAATTCAACTATTCTCCACTATTATTTTAGGTATTTAAAATCTTGCAAAAGAATTATTTCTAGAATCTTTCCACATTCCATTTTCTTTAGCCTGTGGTTCTTACGGAGGGGTCTGTTTTTCTTGAGCATATCCTAGCCACCTGATGACCTTATAGTTTCCCCACAAGCATTGTACTCCGTGGAAATCTAGCTTTTGAGTGAAGTCAAAATTGAGCGAACCACTGGGAACGCATTGAAATGAAGCTGAAAAGACGTTCTGTTGAGGGTAGTTCCTTAGTTTTCTTATTTTCTGCTTTCTCAGAATACATCTTGTGTCGAGAGATTTGCTGTGGAAGAGCATCGAGTCCTGTAGGAGCAGCCGAGACAAAAGGTGAGAAATTTGCAATATTGTTTGTTTTCTTTGCCTTTGAAATTTCCTGATGTGAGTGGAAAGGGATGATAAAAACCCATCAAAAGATGAAAAGTGGCAGAGAAAGCACTTAAGATTAGCAAGCTGCTGCCAATAAGTTAGCCCAGGAGTGATCTTTAATAGGTAGGCTACTTTTTCAACCGTTTTAACAAAAAAACTGTGACTGAAACAGCCCCTAAGCTTAGCAAGCTGCAGTCAATGATGAAATAGGCTATGATATGAACAAATGGCAGAGAGACAGCACCTAAGATTGGCAAGCTGCTGCCAATAAGTTAGCCCAGGAGTGATCTTGAATAGGTATATTTTGTACCACTCTGGTAACGACTTGTGACTGAAACAACCCCTAAGCTCAGCAAGCTGCAGTCAATGATGAAATAGGCTATAATATCACCTAGAAATGGCAGAGAGACAGCACCTAAGATTAGCCAGCTGCTGTTTATAAAACCACAGTAGATGAAGATTGTTTGTTATCCTTGTGTGGGTGACAATGCATAGTGAGTTTTTCAAACGTTTGTTGGTTCCATTTCCCTTTGTGTTGTTCAACTTTTCTCCTTTTGCTGTTGGAGCTGCCCATGTAAGTAGGACCATGCATGCTTTTACACTTGACTTAACCCTTCCAGCCCCAGCCATTTTTGTGCACTCCCTAACCCCAGTCCCAGCCAATACAGCAGTATTTCAGAAAAAGAGGCATTATTTCTTTTAGAAAAGTGATGTACTATCTTTGTAATGTAGCTTTGATAATAACATATACCAATTTTTAAAGATAAATGAACAAGTAATAAGAAAATTAAAGTTTAATCAAGTTCGCTAATTTTAAAAAATGCGCGAATTCGGTACACCCCCGAAACTGAAAATATACGCTCTTGGGACGGAGGGAGGTACAAGCGCTGCTGAAAATATACGCGCTTGGGGCTGGAAGGGTTAAATTGTATTCAGATATTCTCCACTATTATTTTAGGTATTTAAGATGTTGCTAAAGAGTGGTAGGAAGGAGTCTCTTACAGTAGCTGCTCCAGACTTTGAAATGGATAATTGATTACTCGAATGATTGATTGTATGATCCATTATAGTTTCAAAAGTGGCCTTTCAGTTTTTAAAGAGACAAGCTGCAGTCGAAAGAACAATACGTGATTTTTTTTTGGAAGTGGCAGAAACAGCACCTAAGATTAGCAAGCTGCTGCCAATAATCTGGGCCACGTGTAAACTTTTTAAAGGCAGAGATATTCTTGTTATATTATACGAATGGACTGATTAAGCTCAGCATGCTGCAGTCAACGATGAAATAGAAAACTAACGGCAGAAAAAAGCACCTAAGAATAGCAAGCTGCTGCCCAGAAAAACTTGAAAAGATGAAGCGTAGCACTTGTCGGAAAGGGCACCTAAGACCGGTAACTTGATGCCTATGTCTGAATTCTTTTTCCGAACGAGGATGTTCAGCACCCCTCCCCTCCCACCACCATCCTGGCAGAGGACCGGCACCGGAGGACCCAAAGTGAGGCGTCTCTAATGGACCAGACAGGTTCGTTTTGGATTGAATGTCTTAGAGGGAAGTAAATGAGGGTTGGGAAATGTTGTAATTAGGAAGTTTTTCCAAGACTGACCGTCCGGCAGGAAATGCAACGACCGGCTCCTATTGTAAACAGAAAGGCAACACACATTCTGACATCTGTGAGCATTCCACTTGCTTGAGCATATCCTACCTACCTTACGACCTCGTGTTTTTCCACAAGCATTGTACTCCATGGAGACCTAGCTTCTAATTCTGCACCTATGGTGAAACTTTTAGCATAGAAATCAAAGTGTGAAGACTGCCTTTTTGTGGAGGTACAGTAATTTTCTCCGGTTTTCTATCTTCTCTTAGAGTACATCCTGTTTCAAGAGATATATTCTGGAAGAGCGTCGAGTCATGCAGGACCGTCCAATAGAAAAGGTGAGAATTGCTAGGTTATTTGTCTTCTTTGCTTTCCAAGCATATTGATGTAAAGGGAAAGGTACATTTAATGCTTTTGTGTGAGAAATAAAGGAAAGGAATATTCTAGAATCTTTCCACATTCCATTTTCTTTACCCTGTGGTTCTCACGGAGGGGTCCGTTTTCTTGAGCATATCCTAACCACCTGATGACCTTGTAGTTTCCCACAAGCATTGTACTCCGTGGAAATCTAGCTTTTGAGTGAAATCAAAATTGAGCGAACCACGGGGAAAGCATTGAAATGAAGCTGTAAAGACTTTCTGTTGAGGGAAGTACATCACTTGTCTCTTGTCTTTTGTTTCCCCAGAGCTCATCTTGTTTGCAGTGATTTGTTCTCGAAGAGCATCGAGTCACGTATGACCAGTCGCGTAGGACCAGTCAGGTAGACCAGTCATGTAGGGCCAGCCAAGAAACCTTGTTGGTTCTGCAATATTATTTGTCTTCTTTGCTTTAGAAGTATATATATCGAAGTAAGTGGACAATGAAATGAAACATATAAGGAAAAATAACACTTTTATGTTAGAAATAAAGGGAACAGTGGTGTTTTTGTGTCAGTCACAGTGGTTGATGTGTGTCATAGTCACAGTGGTCGATTGTGTGTGGTTGTTGTAGTGTTCATTGTGTGTGTGATAGTTGTAGTGTTCATTGTGTGTGTCAGTCACAGTGGTTGATTGTGTGTGTGGTGGTTGTAGTGTTCATTGTGTGTGTGATAGTCACAGTGGTCGATTGTGTGTGTGGTAGTTGTAGTGTTCATTGTGCGTCATTGTTGTAGTGTTCTTTGTGTGTGATAGTTGTTCATTGTGTTTCATTGTGTCGTAAAGTTGTTGTGGTAGTTGTGATCAAAGTTGTTGTGGTAGTTGTGATCAAAGTTGTTGTAGGCAAAGTTTTTGGGGTTTTCCTGTTTGTCATGGTTGAAGTTATCGTGGTTGTCATGGTTGAAGTTATCATAGTTGTCATGGTTGAAGTTATCGTGGTTGTCATGGTTGAAGTTATCGTGGTTGTCATGGTTGAAGTTGTCGCGGTTGTCATGGTTGAAGTTATCGTGGTTGTCATGGTTGAAGTTATCGTGGTTGTCATGGTTGAAGTTGTCGCGGTTGTCATGGTTGAAGTTATCGTGGTTGTCATGGTTGAAGTTATCGT